TTCACAGAAGGCTCAATTTGACCCACGGTGAATGTACAAAATTTTATGGTGTGGGAGGAATAATATGGGATTAGTCTGGCTTTTATTATTAATGATTGGAGAAGCCAGAAGTACTTTATGTAGGTCATCCCAAACAAGACTCAGTGAATGCTTTTTCCTCCCTACATCATCATCTGCTTTGTTTATGCCATGCTAAAGGCAACAGTTAATTCACACACTTTGAAAGTGCTAAATGTTGCAGTCCAAATTGCCTACTGGTGGGAGCTGTGACAGCTGCACAGGAGGAAATGAAACTGCTGCAGTTTATAACCAGATTATAGTTTCATCCTGGTCTGGTGTTAGTTTTCATCTCAGTGGCTAAACTGTGTTGATTTTGTGCTATGAATCTTAACTGTGCACACCTGGGAGAAGGAAAGATGATCTGAAAGTTAAGTTTTCATCTAAGCTACTCTGTTCCTGTTGTGTTAGCATGATATTGAGTGACTGGCTGACATAAGCCTACTGTCATCTCACTTCACCTTAAACACTTGATGAGAGAGAGGTGCCTATATTAGGGTTTTTATCCCCTTCCCCAAGATCTAAATAGCCTCTAGACACAAAACATTGGTTGTTGGTGTTTTTTTAAAATATCACTAATCTCAAAGAAAATACTTGTGATTTTTTGATTGATCTCATCTGAGATGAAATCCTGTAGATTTTTTTGGGAAGTAATTTGTTTGTGTGATACAGCAGCTAAAAAAGAAAAAAAAAAAACAACCCTAGGAACAGCCTTAGGAAGGGAGATTTATGAGCAGATGATCAGGTTCGCTGGTGAAAGGTCCATGTTGTGTGTTGTGTATCATATGGGTCTACCATATATCACATGGATAGAAAACAGCACCTCATCTCATAACAATGCGTTAGTCAGACAAGTAGACCTGGTAAATCATGACAATTTATGGTAGAGTTTAGTGCCTTTCTGTCCTGCCTGTACCTCTCTGGCCAGCCTAGCTTCAAAGACTACTTTTCCTCAGATGAAGTCTTATCACCTGCCACAGCTGGTTGCCCAGAGAAGTAACTTAGTGCATGTTTTTAAATGTATTTGTCTTTTGGCATTATGCCTGTCATAGCTATCATTTTTATTTCTGAAACAAGTAACATGCTGCTAATGAAAGCACTTCTTTTTTCCCACTACAGTATTTCCTCAGAGAACATTTACTATACAGCATCTGAAAAGAATACATTTTTCAACTCTGAGAGTGTTTCCTAGAGGTTGCATTTCCCACATGCTCAATAACAAGTAGCCATAGCATTGAAAATCTTATAGAAAGTCAATCTTATGCTAAGCAGGTACTCGCTTATGAGAATACATGCTGTCACTCTAAGGTTGAGAAGTCTTTGATATATTAGGAATACTGTCATAAGCATAATGGAGGGGTCCATGATGGGAATGCCATCTTTTTATCAAATTCAGCTGACATTAAGGTCCTCATTCTGAGGTTGCACTGTGTTTAAGTAAACATTTCTTTGCATAGATCTGTCAGCATTCTCATTATAAACCCACCTTCTCAAGAAGACATGATGTAGGAGCAAACCTTAAACCAAGCTATAAGTTCTTTGTCTGTAAATAATGGTTCCACACAAAGTGCATACTGTAGATAAGATTATATAATTTGAGAAATTTTATGTGATCATATAACTGAAAAATAATATGAGCTAACTCAGAAAGGGATAAATTTAAGGATATATAAGTGTCTGTCTGACAACTCCCTGTCTTTTGAATATCATGCATCTTTAACATTCTTCATTTTAAATGTGTGTGTAAGAAATGGCATATGACTGTGTGCAATATGTTTTTATAGGCTGTATGTGTCTCTTCATTGTAAAGAGGAAGCAGCCTTTATATGTGATACTGGGCATGGGTATCTGAATATATATATATATATATGAATGAGCGGAACAAAGAAAGTGAGAGGGTGAGAAAGACTCTTCAACTGCATAAAACTGTGCAGTACCCAGCTTCTGGTCCTGATAGTTTGGTCACATCATACTGTTGTTAGCTTCAGTGAGAGAGCTTGTGAGCTTATGGGCTTTGCTGGATCAAATTCAGAGTGCCCAACATGTCCAGCATTGCTTCCAGTATTGCTTCACACACTATTGCATTCCAGTGCCTGTTGCCTCACCATTGCAGGGCAGGCCCATCCTTAATGCAGACTGTTTTCCACATACAGTGACAGTGCTACAGGCCAAATCACAGCCTGGCCTTTGCTGATGGTCCTACCTGATGGAGAACACCTTAAGTAAGCTGTGTTAGCTCCTAAGGCTGCCTAGCATTTTAGCTTCTTGCTATGAGCAGGCAAGGATTGCACAAGCATTCCTGCAAAGTGCTGATGAAGCTGTGTTTCTGATCCTGCCAGGTGTTGCCCACATATTGACCATGGCTCTCAGACAACCTGTGCTTGGGCTTCCCCCTGGCAGCCTGCCTGCACTCAAGCAAGGGGTCCTGGGGGAAAAGGCTGGCGGCGGGGAGTCAGTGACCGCCATGCCCACGGTCCTTCTAGGGACTGCTCTCTCCAAGGGGTATGATCACAGTCATCTCATATCTTCTCTTGATTCCCAACACTACATACAGTACTGAGGATGAGTCCTGGGAAGTGCCAGGGCACTCGTGGACTATCAGCGTAGCTGCGGGCTCAGAAGAAGTCTGACAGGGCAGCAACAAATCTTGACCCTACGAAATGTGGCAGAAAGAGCAAGATTTCCCTTTCCCTCTGTTTGCTGTTCACCATCACCAACTTTATGACTTTGTGAGTTTCACCATCAGAATACTCAGGCCACTAAGAAGCTGTGTCTCCTCGTCTTCTCCCACCCAGGGTTCTGTAGTGCACAAAGCCATGATTTAGCCCCAGATGTTATTAACTCATAATTAAGTGTTTATATTCTCTTAGCTTGCAGCTGGAATGTAATCTGGTAATCATTCAGAGACTGCCTGGTTAATAGCAGCTGTGCAATTCTAAATTTCTAGCCTGGTCATCTGTATGTACAGCAGGATAGTAAGGTACCCCTGAAATCTGCTTTGCTATTGCTTTAACCATTTAAATTTCAATCATCTCCTTGACAGTTCTGTTAAGGGCATGCTGATGTCTCTTTTCAAGGAAGGAACAGAAGGACACAGTATTTTTTCTAGTTGGTGTAAATATTGGGTTTAATTCAAATATTGTTTGATCATGATTTGGAAAATGAAGTACAGGCTCAGCTGAATGATGATTTGTAAACCAGAATGAATGAAACTCCAAGTATACATAAAAGAACTCCTGACTTCTTTTCCACCAAAAGAGATCTTGATTTCAATAGAAGTTTTGCCTGACTAAAGATTTTTCAGGATTTAGACTCTCATCTTTCTAACAGCCGTCTCTCTTGAGGGATGTTTTAAGATCTGTGCAGAACAATAGAACAGAAGAATGAGAGCCTGATCCAAAAGCCTGATCATTGAAATCAAAGGAGGTATTTCCATTATTCAAACAAATATTACAGAGTGCTGTACAGGAGAATATCAGGAATTATTCTATCAGCCTTCACAGGAAAACATGCAGCTGTAAGCATTATTTGTTGATGGCAACCATTATGCTTATAGTTCCAAGAACTACAGCTCTTCTTAACAGAGTATTAGAACAAGAAATACCTAAATTTTCCTTTTTTTTTTTTTTTCTTAAAGATGGTGAAACTATTACTTTAAATCCTTCTAAACAGGACAAAAAGAAGATATTTTGAAATTTAAATGAATGTCTATAATTCAGTAATGCGTTTGTTGCATGAAACAGTTTAAGTGCACTGTGATTCTTATCAAAACTTGTAAAATTCCTATAAAATGAAGATTTTTATTATGTACTGAAAAATATGCAATCATATTCTTCTTATAGGATGCTATTAGGAAATAAAATATTAAAATGGAACCTTTATTAATAACATATGTTTTAGAGCAGCATAAATGGAACTCTATTTGACATGTAATTTTCTTCTTCATTACGTTTTTTGTAGTACATTTTACAGGAGGTATGACTGATTTTTCCTTTTAAATCAGCAAGTTTTAAATAATCTAGCCAGATGTTTGCCTTAAAAATAATATAGTTCAGGGATGGAATTGGTCAGCTTCATAGATGTGTGGTCAGTTTTTCTCTTCCTCCTTTCCTCAGAGCTAAACTTTTATTCTCTTAAAGCTACATGTCTAAGTGAATCTGGATTGGATTCCTTTGAGATGCCCATTTTGACTTTGAAGTGGCTTGGTTTCCAAGGGAGAAAAAAACCCCATTCCTTCTCTGCTAATCTGCTGTCCTTTGGATTTTTCAAACCAGATACCCAGAAGCATAAATCCCATTAAAAGTGTAGGCTTATTTCCAGCACCTCTGCATTTGAAAGAATATTTTCATTTCAAAATTGAACTGGTGCAGGTGCATAAATCTCAAGAGATGAAATAATGATCAGTTAAAGATGTTACTTTTCCAGCTGTCTGTCCATGGTGATAGCAGCAATTTCCTATTCTCCAACAGAGGCAGCAGAATGAGAATTGCTCAGTCCAGCACGTACAAGCTTAATCTGTTACTGAGTCTTGCCTAATGGATCTGTATGTCTACGAGTAGTTTGAAACATTGCTTCTAATAAGGAATGACAATATGCATCACATTGGAGCATTAATTCTGAAACCTGATGATTATTAAGCTTGTGATTGTTCACTGTTTCATTGCTAGTCTGGATGTTGAAAGTATGTAATAATACAGATAATATATATAATATATAGACCATAATACAATGGTCTGTCTGCCTTATCAATTTATTTACAAGTGCTTTCTTCTAATATCTTGTCCAGTGACTTGCAGGAACAAGGCATGGGAAAACCCTGCTTCTCTGTATGTTCCACTTCCGCTCCCTGTTGCCTCATGCTGCAAGTTCCCAACCTCCTCATTCTCTTTGATTTGCTAAAATAATTACAAGAACTTATCTTTATGTCCACTCTTTCCTTACAGCTCCAGAAACAGCTGTCTGAGCTGGATGAGGATGACTTATGTTATGAATTTCGTCGAGAACGTTTCACTGTCCACCGCACTCATTTGTATTTTCTACATTACGAATATGAACATGCTTCAGACAATACAGATGTAACACTGGTGGCTCAACTATCAATGGACAGGTAGGGAGAATTGCTTGTTCATCTGGAAGCGAGAGACAGTATTTTCTGACAGAGATATCCCAACTATGTAGTGCTTTGAGGAGAGAAAAAACTCACTTGCATAAAAATTTAGGTGTCATACTGTAAGATCTTTCTTGAATTAGGAGTAGCACATGTAGATATCACACACGCATCCAAACTTCAGTTCTGCAGTGCACACATGAGTGTGGGTAGAGTTCATGAGAGCTTGAATACTGGATCTGCAGGGGTTGTTACTTGTCAGGATTTTCAGGCATTTTTACTTTATGACACTTTTGCAGCAGCTTAGAAAAAACAGGAGATGTTTGTAGTTAGACTTAGGTAAGCAGTTGTACATGACCAAGTTTTTACACACAGTATTTCCTTATTAGGCATTGTTAGTTTTGCTTTCACTGGCATTTTCCTTCCAGAAAATTTCAATTAGTGATTTTTCTTATAGTCAAAATCAAAACTAAACATTTTAGTTTCCAATTGGGAAGTTGAAACTGATTTTTTTTTTTTCAATGTGCTACTGTGAATTAAAAAGTCTCCTTTTGAGAGGAGTCATTTTTATACAAATGTTATTTTTCAGAATAACATTTCTAGTTTAATTCTTCTCAACTTTCAGTTCTGATGTAAAGTGGAATTTAACTGGTATTTCATTTGGGAAAAAAAATCCATTTTGTGACAAGTTCCACGTGCACCTTTCTGAATCTTACCATTGCAATTAGTTAATATTTTTCAGAACCTCTGAAAGTGCAGTCCAGATCAGCCAGCTTTGTGAAATTTTGAATTGTCACTCTCCTTTTTCCTCCTGCTTCTCAGTTTGAATCTAGTCCAAACTTTGTAGTTACAGCTATCAGAGTTGGTTACAAAACAGATCAGAACTTGATTATCAGCCAGAAACCGGTATTTCATTTAGCAGAGCACATACAGAATACAACATGACCGGTGAATACCACCACTGCTACACCAGTGGAAGGTCAGCAGTATTGCAGGAGGGTCAGAGGAATTCAGATCAACAAAACATTTACAGCCTGTTTTAAAAATAAACACAGGCAAATGAGGGCTATTCTGTTTTGCCAGTGCCTCAGCACTGCATCCTGCACATTGTGTTATGATTTGCTATGTGCATCAGTGTCTGTTCTATTGATCTTTCATAGAGGAAACATTTCTTAAGTGTCCACAAACCTTTGACTAAAAAACTAAAGAAATAAATTAAGCCAGACTCTGAGTGCCACAGTAAATTTGTAAAGCTGTTGTGTGCGCATGATATATTTATTTTCTCTCCAGAATTTAATTCAAAAGAATAAGCTGGGGCTCAGTGCTGATTCACTGGCACTGATGCAAAGTCTGAGCATCTGTTTCCCTTTCTGGATCCTCACTGGGGCACATGTCTTTATTGATGGAATCACACATTTTTAGTCAGGAAGAACAGCCCTCCTGGTACTGTGCAGGAAAAATCTTCCCTACTTCGTTGGTGTGTTGCTACAAATTATTGATTTTAGTTGGAACTACTTTCTTTCAGCTAAAATCAATAAATAATATCATACCAAAGAACGGTTCAGCTGCTTTATTTTCTTTCACATCTTTAGGTACTGCCTTTTTTGTTTTTTTTTCCTGTGTCTTCTTTAAACCACTTTTATTAAACTCCTCCAGCATAGCTGTAGACATTTAAGAATAGTGTCGCAGATGTAAGATGACATATACATAAAGAGTGTGTTATATGCCACATTCCTGCATCGTTCCTTCAAATGATCATCTGAGATGAGGAAAGGCAAAAAAGCAACTCCCAGTGTCTCCAATTATAGTCCTGTTGGAGATGAGACTGACATGACAATCATGACAGGCTTATGTTTTCCTGTGCTACTCTTGGGGAAGGGAGGAGAGGGATGCAGTTAAGGAGCTACCATGAATGGCTTTAGATAGAAGCTTTGAGACAGACTTTGTTCAGTGCTATTTGTTGCTGGTTAATTGTCATCTTTTATGCTGATGTGACATTTTCTTGGATAATGGCTTGGTTGCATCTCTGTGGTTTTCATGCATGTGTTTTGGCTAGGCAGCCTTTTTAAAAGCTTGATATGCACCCAGGGTTCACAAATCAGACTGGGAGTTATGAAAATAGGAGATCAGGATGTGGATAAGAAGAGATACATTAACATTACACCATTTGAAGTATGGGCAAGAATGAGTTGTAAATTGGTTGAGTATTCTTAAGAAGAAAAGTGAAAACAAAGAATCTCACAAAACAATTGATTTCCAGCAAAATTCACTTGACTTAAACAGACCTTTAAAAATTTTCCAAGTAAATTATGACATCATTATTATGCATTACAGCAGTACATTTATTTTCTCTAGAGTCCTTAAGAGAACGCATTTTTCAAGACCACAAAGAAAACCAAAATAACTTGATCGTGTTGTGCTTAGAAACTCGTAATTCTAAGCTTTATGACCATATTGGAGGCTTATAACAACTTACAGAGAGCAGACTGTGGAGCATCACCCAGCAGTCCCTCTGCCAAACTCATGGAAGTGGAGCCTGTCAGTGAGAATGACACAGCAAAATGGAGTATTCTGAAGGGCACTAAGCTGTCCAGCTGGAAATTTATACTAGCAAAACCCAGTTCCCATTTAACTACCATGAAAAGCCTTGCAGGCATTATCAGGTGTGTCATTTAAACAAGTTATAGATGCCATTTGTCCACTGTATAGAATCCTTCAAAGGCATTTTGCTACATTTCTTGCTAGGCAAGTATTCCAGTTTTAAAAGGCTGCTCGAAATCTGAGTGCTGATGAATTGGAGTCTCCTAATTAATAGATTTGCACAATGTTGGAAAAAGGAAAAAAAAAAAAAAAAAAGAGTTTTTTTCTCTATTTGTTGTTTGTACAATCAAAAGCCTAAAGCCTTCACATACTTTTTAGATTTTTTTTTTTGATTTATGTTTCTAATCTGACTATATGTTTCAAGCTGATAATAACCTTTGTTTCAATAATAGATAAAAAGAAAATAATGTACCAGGTGTAGACTAGTAAAGGTAATATCTCATATCTAAGAAAAAAATGATTGTGTCATCTTGGATGTCATCATGATCATACAGAAAAAGCTATTAACATTAAATCAGAATGTGTGTTTGTTGGTGTGAATATATCAGTGCTTTCTGCTGGAAAGCTTAAGGAGATAGTAGGAGAAATTATTTTCTCTGATTACAATGATACAGAAAACTTTTCTTTGTCCTGTATAAATATTAATAGGAAAAATTTAGTAATGTAGATTTGGAACTGAGAGAAGATAATCATGTTGCATAGTCTACTCTTCCTAATTTTTAATAGAATATCTGGCTAGTCTGCATAGTTCATTTCCCTTTTTATTAACTCAAGAGGTTTTGTAATCAGTCCTTGCTGTATTTTTGGATGGCATATCTTAATGTCTAGGCGATTCTCTATAAATTACCCAAAGTGCTTAAACGATTTTGACCAGGCTGGATTCGATTTACATTTGTGTATGAGATCCTTTTGTAGTCATTTTCATCAATAGTATTGTAACTGATGAAAATTTTAAATTATTTACATCAATACAACCCATTTCAAAAGTGATTTAATTAAATTTGTGATACTGCTAAAACACATACAAGCTACTACTTTAAATTATGGTTTTGTCTGAAATGCTCTTTTGATATTCCGCAGCAATGCCGTATCTCTCCCTCCTTCTCTCCTTACTCCCTGCACAGAGTAACTCCCCTTTCTATTGATGTGTCATCCTTTTGCCCTTTCCCTGACAGTGAGTTCTAGTCAGTGCAAGTGTTCAGATAACTCAGTATTCCCTTGACCTATCACTTTTAACAATTTTTAAGATCTGACTAACTGCCGTTCAAAAATGTGGGGAAGGTTTTCCTAAACAGGAGGTAAAATGATCTGTGGGTCTGTACACCTTTCTCCTTCCACAAGCTTGTTGAAAAACACTGTAGTATGTTAGTGTGTGAGAACAGTTTGACGTGAACTGTGAATAGGGCACTATACACTGTTGAAGATTGAGACCTCTACCCTGTAAGTAGATCCAAACGGACAGATCCCTACAACTGCTCAAAGCTCCCATCAGATGAAGTCCCATCATGCATGTGGGTTTTCCTGCAGCATCAATACTTCAGGCAGAAAGGATGGTGTTGATTTCACCTAGCTTTAGATATCTGAGTTGTGTTTATCTGAGCTATGGCAGTCTTAGGCTCACTTGGATTCAGTGGAGAGAAATAGGCATATCTTGGGTGCAGTCCATCTGTCCAGAAGGAGACATCAACTTAGATGAGATGAATCATGCTGTAGAAATATTTATTGCTTTCCACAGCACATAAAGTGACCCCAATCTGTCTCAGAGATACATATCTGTATTTGATCAGATGAACCCAGGCAAAGATTCCCAGACAGGAGGACAGCCTTTTCTTATTCTCACCCTTCCTCTTTCAGGCTCCAGATGCTTGAAGCCATCTGCAAACATTGGGAAGGTCCAATCAGCCTGGCACTCTATCTTTCTGATGCAGAAGCCCAGCAATTTCTGCGCTACGCCCAGGGCTCAGAAGTACTTATGAGCCGCCACAATGTCGGCTACCATATCGTGTATAAGGAGGGACAGTTCTATCCTGTGAATCTGCTAAGGAATGTGGCCATGAAGCATATCAGCACACCATACATGTTTCTGTCTGACATTGACTTCTTGCCCATGTATGGACTCTACGAGTACCTCAGGTAAATGGACAGTGGAGGGATTCCATCACTGTCATCCGTATTTTCAGTCCCTCTACACCCCACCCTTCTCACATATTCCCAAAACAATGCAGTTTGAGCAGATCTGAAAGAGGCATCTTATAGATGTTTAAGGTGTGACAATGCCCAGCCAGGCACAATAATTTTTATGGTAGAGAAAGGGGCTGTAACTGGAAGCAATACGGTTATGAAAAACAAACCCTCAGGTCTAAATGATAGCAATCAGAATAATTCCCACAGAGCAGCAGAGAATCAATTTGAAAATTGAACTGGACTAAGTATTATTAAATGTGCAAGAACATCCTGTATTAGCAGAGATATGAACGAGGCAATTTCCCTAAACATCTCTGGTTCTTAATGTCACTGACAGAAAAAACATGCAAAGAATTACTGAACTTGTTGTTCCTGTGACACACTCTTAATCCAGTTCCATATCTTGGAAAGAGGGTGATAGTCTAACCAGCTCAAAAACATAACTACAACACTAGCACCTGTCAAAGCAATTGTGTACTGTATCATAATGAATTTGAGCAGGTTGGGCTGAGCAAACTACAGACGTCTGATCCATTATAAGTGAGTGTTTTTTAATAAAGACCTTTTTCCCCTACAGAGGCTGGTCATCTGAGGCCAAAGCATAGAGCAAGGAGGACACCCTGTGGCCAGACAGGAGGATTTCAATTCCTTAGTCCTGACCAGCTTTGTTTTTCTTCTCTGTTCTAATTTGGAAAAAGTTGATCAAAATTTTACGGTGAGGGTCTGCCTGTAGGTGATCTCTTTCAATCCATAAGCCCAAGGTTTTGGAGTGTAAAGGGAAATATACCTTCTGGTATTGTAAAATTCATTTGTTTCAGGCTTAACAGCTCAATAAGCATCTTCTCACTTTTCTCTCATGTGGAGAAGTAATTGCCTTTTCAATTTCTGCATCCAGTGTGGGGCCAAATTCGCTATTCAGGGGAATTTAACACCTCTCCTATGAAGAAAGGCTGAGAGAGTTGGTGTTGTTCAGCCTGGAGAAGGGAAGGCTCTGGAGAGATCTTACTGAAGCCTTTCAGTACTTAAAGGGGGCTTTTAAGAAAAATGGGGACAAACTTTTTAGAAGGGCCTGTTGTGATAGGACAGAGCATAGTGGGTTTAAACTAAAAGAGTGTCGATTTAGACTAGATAAAAGGAAGACATTTTTTATTATGAGGTTGGTGAACCACTGGCACAGGTTGCCCAGGGAGGTGGTAGATGCCCCATCCCTAGAAACTCTCAAGGTCAGGTTGAACAGGCTCTGAGCAACCAGATCTAGCTGAAGATGCCCCTGCCCATTGCAGGGGGGTTGGACTAGATGACCTTTGAAGGTCCTTTCCAACCCAAAGTATTTTGTGATCTTATAGCTTTTAAGACATTTCATTAATATCGTTGAAGTTTTATCACACTGTGTCAGATTGTTTCCCACGTACTTTAGGGATGCTTCTTTTTGACTTGTGCTAGGAAGACTCTAAAATAATTCTGTCCCTTGCATTAGCTGTCTCAAGGTACATGTAGGGACAATTGTTGTTATTCTATTCTTTGATGTTAGTGTTGCGTACTGTTACATTTCTTCAGATCTATGCTGGACACAATAAGGATAGCAGCTGTTGTTACTGACATATAGTTCTAAAAAGAAACTTGCTTCTCTGTGCTGCTTTGCAGTGCACTCATGGAAGCCAGCAGTGAAAGGAAGAACATGACAGAATGATATACCATAATACACTTTAGATAATACATGTAGTGATAATGTATTATAGAACTAAATGCATAGTGATGCCACCCATTGGTGCTGTTTCAGAAAAAAAACAGCTTCTCACTGACAGCTCTTGCATCCAAGACCATGTGTTACTCTACCAGCCTTTTGTGAAGCCCATACCACCTTAACTCTGACTGTGAATCTCTTATTGCCTGGGAACATTGAAACTGCTAATCTGCTGTTACCAGCTCCTTAAAAAGGTTTTGGATTTTTATGCGTGTGGACTAGAGGCTTTTGTTGCTTTTTCAATAATGATTTTTCTGATCAAAATATCAGGGAGGTGCAGGGAGATTATTTTAAATATGGATACCCTGTATTTTTATGCATTAACTGTTCCTACTGCCTCTGCATGTAGCTAATTACTGCTATCTATCTGAATGGCAGTGATTGTTTGTTAGAGAGGTGTACAGACGACATTTTCATCTTCTTTTTCTCGGACAGAACAACCATAAGCAAATAGAAATAGCGTGGTTTTTCAAGCATCGTTTTGTACAGGATGAGGCAGACAAGTCCCTCTCACTGCAAATTTGCTGATTTGCATATACTGTATATTGTGTCTGTACAGACAATATATTCTCAGAAAGATAGGAATTTTGAAAAACATTGTCAGCATATTTTGAAGGTGTTGTATGTGAAAGGTTAAGGCCAATTTTGAAGGAGAAACTGATTGAGTTGATGGTTACCTGTCCCTCTAGGTATCTGTTGCTAGCACTTAGATTTGTGCTAATTGAACTTTTTCACAACTGCTAAGTAAAACCATTTCAATGCTTTTAAACTCCATCAGACCCTGTTTTTGTCCTACCTTATTCTTCTGTGAAGTACAAATGGAAAGAAAAGTATTATTTCAATATATACAAAACTCAGACACTTTTTTTGGTCTGTGCTGAGTCTAAGTCTTTCGTCACCTTCCCTCATTAGTTACTGGGTCATTTTGTCATTGCCCCAGAGGTAAAGACATTTTCTGGTTGCTACAAGTAAGGTGAGTGGGTCATCCTAAAGTTACTTCTAACATAAAATAACTAGACAGGCTGCTTACCTACAATTGTCACTGAAGGTGACAGCGAGCATTAAAGTTCTTTCCTGACACATGTGTCTAAAATACACCCTCCACTTCCAGCAACACATTTAGCATGAATTGGGACTTGGCATCTAATCTCTATCCACAGGTTTTATACCTGTCCCCTGCAACATGAGTTGTGAAGTTACTTTTCAGCATCTCAGCAAGAGACACACTTCATATTGTGTTGCTTTTTATTTGTTAGATGCTTTTGTAGGCTATGCATTCATTGCTTTTGCAGAGAGGAAGAACATTCTAATGAATATAACAGTGAACTGACAGCTCTCCAGTTCTTACCACAAACTGTAACTGCCTTATTCGTTAATCTCAGACTAACCACTTAACAAGTCCTGATGCTATAAGCTAATTTGAATTAATGGACTTTTTGTTTTGTTTTGTTTTTTTTTTAATTCAGTGCTTTAGGATTAGATTGCTAGGCTTTCTGTGTCTGAAATTCTCTATCATCCAGAAATGGAAGTGATATTACTGACTGCCCCAATGAGGATGAGAGTTCTGTCTTAATTTTTGGAAAGGACTATGGAGATGGAAGGACTGATATCAACATGCTGGAGTTCATTCAACCTGTGAGAAGAGTCTTGTGATTTAAGATTAATTTCTTCCACACTTTGCAAAAAATAGGGTAGATTTAGAAATTTAACCCAACTTTCACTGTGTCAGAATGACATACATCAGGTCTGAACACAAAGATGCCTGGGAAACAGCTTCCTGGACAACACTAGCAAAGAGAAAGCTCTTCATAAAATCATATATCCTTTATTTGGGGAAAGAACAGATAGAGCCACATAGATACTGAATCAATATTACTGAATCCAAAAAAACATCCTTCATGAAGAAAGTGCAGGAATTAAACAGTTTACCCCATGCTAGTTTGCAAAATATCTAAATGTATTCCCTACCTTGCAACACCAACTGTGAAAATTTTCCTGTTCCAAGTATCACAGAACCAGTCAACCAGTAAATGGCACCTCCACTCAAAACAGGAAAAAAAGTTACCCCACAGGAAAAGTAGATTTGCTTCTAATAGGAAGAGGTTAGATTTTCAGCTGGTTGTCTGAGGAGCAGACTACTCACCAAGTTATCAGAAGAAAATGGAAGGTGTTTTCTTATCTTCAAAATCCTCCCTGCCATTATCACAATTTACATGACCTCTGTGGTCATTTGTCATGACTCAGGTTCAACAAGTGCTAGATGTCAGCACTGATTCCTTCTTCCCCTTACATTTGTCCTTTATGTCATTTAGCTCACATCAAAGACAGGCTATTGTATTTGGTCAGTGCTGCTAGACTTCTTGACTGAGCAGGTCTGAACTCCCAGCTCAGTTTTGACCAACCTCTTCACTTTGACCTTACCAACATGCATCTCAGATGCTCACATATCTAATGAAATATTTCCTCAGAGATTATCCTTCTATTTTATTTCACTCTTGAAGTGTCTCCACCACTTCTCTGTGTTTAACTGTACCCACTACAAGCATCCTGTTTTCAGACCTCTGCTTCTCTCTACTTACCTAACTTTTCATATTGGCCTTTGACAGTGCAAGTGATTTCAACCTCTTGTATCAGTTTTTTCCCTCTGCCTTTTGGTTTTCTCCATGAAGGTACTGTCATCTCTTCTTTCCAACTGTTCTGCCATTGACAGCTGTACTAAATTTGCAGATAACAAGAGTAGGGAGTGTGCAGTAAGAATTATTGATATCAACATAATTTTTGTGCTTGTATCCCATATCTCACAAAATTAGTTATGTTCAACACTAGCTTCAACACAACTTGCTCTGTCTGACAGTCTCTGCTGTTACCCTTGCTTGATACCTATACCTACTTAAGCTTCATCCAGCTTCAGATAGTCAACTTTGGTGGGCAGGATTGTCTCCTACTTTTAGCAGTGCTAAGCACAGCAAAGTCTTGATGTTTGCCTGGGACTTTTGAGCTCCATCAAACAAAGAGCTAGTAACAACCATAAGTGGAAGCTGCTGTTCCCTTGAAGAGCCCAAAGGATAAGCATCCCTGCCAATGTTACCTGCTCCTTCCTAGAACTGAATCCTCAAAGCTGTACTACTCAAGGCTGATAGATTGTACAGAGTCCAGAAAGCCTGAGATGTTGGAAGAGAAACTTATGTTAGTGTCCGCTACTCTCAAAGAAGGTATGAAGGGGAAGAAACATTAAGAACATCATAAAGACTGGATACTGGCACTGCTCAACAATTCTGGAAGGTCATGGAGGAGTCTTCTGTTTACATGCAGATATCTTGGCCATTAGTGATGGTGAGGGAGAAGCTAGTGAAAAAAGTACAAAAAAGTTATAAGAAGATTCTGTTAAAATCCTTTAGTTGTGAAAAATTCACTGGAATGTGGCAGATGTTCTTTAAACAATGCAAACTTTGCAGTAAGATGCTGGGAACAGATTTCTTTTTATAGAACAGGCCTATATGGTGATAGGAATTTTCTAAAATTCAGATTTTATTAAATAGCCCTCCTCTTCTTTTTCTCTGATGGCAATATAAATGAATTCTAGGTATTCTGGGCCTAGAAAAAAGATTTGTTTGCTTCTTCTGTTATTATGACAGTGATCCCAATTCGTTCATCTTATAAGGCTGTAGAGAGTTAGCTACTTGTCAGTATTGTGCTTGATTGCTTGTTGCAGTAACATAAAAGTCAGGACACTGAATCCTGTTAAGAGGAACTGACTTTGACAGGGAAAGAGAAGCATCTCATATGAAATATGAAGGTAATGAAAGGAAAATCAAGACAGTTATTTCTAATGACAAGCATAGAAAGATTCAGTTTGGGGGTGGAAAAGTGACTTACTTTTTCTTTGGGTTTTAGTTTGTTAGAAAGAATAGAATGAACACCTCTGGCAGGCAGGGCATAAGGTTGCTAGGCTGTTGCTTTCCTGTGGCAGTCATACTAAGGCCTCTGACTGGAGAAGGGCCCTACTGTGCACAATGCAGCGTGTGCACACTCATACACTGGAACAGCCTCTGCACTGAACAACTTGCTGTAGCAGGAGGCCTTATTTTTGCAGGATGAAGTGGTGAGATGAGACGCACCGCAATATGGTTAACAGTTAAGCTCTAATGTTTATTAGCAAAACAAGTCCTTATATATCCTTGTGACAGCAAATCCATGTGTTGCTCTGGCGCATGCTCATTTCAAAAACTTGTTCCTTTCAGCACTTTCAACAAGCACTACTAAGCGTGCACAACCGGTAGATAAGTTACTGTTTTGTTGTTCTAAAGAATCCTTTCTTATCTGTTTCTTCCCTAACAAGTACAAATTCTTTTGCTTTTAGCCGTCGTTAATCTAGACACCGTTAGTCTTCTAACACAAGTGTGTCATTAATTTAGACATCGTTAATATTCTAACCTGAATTCTGATGACACTTTTACACTGTCAGTGACGCAGATGGTTTGCGACCTGGCATACGCACCCACAACTTGTAGCAAAAGAAGGGAAAAAGTGAGGTATCTCAGTGGATCCAGTACGCAGCTCTTCTCTGCAGGAAAGAGCCTCTTTGCCCTGTCCACAAAGCCAGGCACAAATGAGCTCTGATCTCTGGGCACTACCATGCAGATGATTAACAATACTCAAAAAATCCCTGCTAATGTACAGTTTTGCTGATCTGTCCCATGTGCTGTTGAAGTAGATCTGTGCCTTGCCTTGAACAAAGACCAACTGTCATGGCAACAGCGTTCTTGACACCAAATATCTGATTCATAATGACGATAAGGTAACACTCACCTTGCAGGACACACAGAGCTCTAGAGCAAAGTTAAAAAGCAAGCGTGATGGCACAGCGTTACACAGAGAATAGTTAGGCTGAAGTGCAACCGAACTGTCCAGCTCCTTGCCTTTGTAAAGTCGTGGATATATCCCATTGGTTTAGAGCTGCCATTGACAGGGCAGATCTTTCCCATATATGTAGTAACATTCAACTATGTTTCTCTTAAAAGGGGTGGTCAGCTGGCCATGCTCTGAGTTCTAGTTCAGCTCTGTGCACCCCTGGACATGTAGGGCAGCACTGATCACACAGCCCTTGTTGAACTGTGTTGTTCTCCCTGCTCTTAGAGCAACGGATCAAAAGTAGAGAAAAATATGAAGGACCCTTGGGAAAAACATGGGCCATAGTTACATTTACAGTATCAAACTGCCCATTCTCTGCACTTTATTTTGAAACACCAAATGATTTGTTCAGTTTAAAATGTTCCTGCTTTTATTTGTTGTTTCTCTTTGCCAGAAAGTCTGTCATCCAGCTAGACCTGGCTAACACCAAGAAAGCTCTGATTGTACCTGCTTTTGAGACCTTACGCTACCGCCTCTCCTTCCCCAAGTCAAAAGCAGAGCTGCTATCTATGTTGGACATGGGAACCCTCTTCACATTCAGGTAATGGGAAGTACTTTTGTTGATCTTGTGGTCATTATCTCTGAAGATCATTTTGATGTTCTTGTGAATATTTGATTTTTCTCTCTCACTGTCAGGTAGAAACCTATTAAGAAACCTATCGCAATTTTTTTTCCCTTTTGTTAGAGAGGCAGTGAACAGAATCCTATGTGCGTATATTCCATCTGTAGGCTCAGCATTTTATCTAGTATACTCCTCTACTGAAGGACTTCAATTGTTCATTTAAATTTGTTTTATTTTCATCACTTTTTATGGCACTACAAAACCAAGCACAACCATTGCACTCATGTGCATTTAATTGGCTTTTTGGCTGACAAATACTATCTGAATAGCTGTGTCCCTCATGTGACAAAAAATAATGTCTCTGTGCTCGTTGATTCGCTTCCTTGCTGACTTACTGGAAAAACAAATGCAGGTTTCTCATGCACTCTTTTAAAGTGTGGAACAGGTGCTTAAACAACTAGAGTTTCTCAGTGCAGAGGTAAAAGTGTACTGTGACTAGAAGTTGAGAAGTGAAGAACACCTAAATTTAGAGCTCCTCTCTGAAGCAGACTCCTTTTGTGGCAATGAACAAGTCACTTCTATTATCTGCCAGACTCTGGTTTTAAAATGCAACTACTAGGGGTTAACTGCCTCTTGGGTGTGTGTGGTAAGGTCTGATTAGCAGCCATTTTTAAAGCATGGCAGTGATAGGAAGAGTACAATATGGCCTTATGATGTTGCACAGAGAGGGGGCTTAGAAGACATGGGTTCTCTTCTCAGCTTCACTACTGCCCTGCTGGGAGGTGTTATGCAAATCAGTGCACTTTCTTACATCTCTGTTCTCCATCTCTGACATGCATTTAACAATATTCACCTATCCTTTTTCAGGATTTTGAGCTCTAGAGATAAAAACTATGAAAAAGCTAGGTATTATCCATGGCTAGTGGAGCTCTCTATCACCTCTCCCATCCTTCCCTTATTTTAGCGCTTTCCTCATACTTCTTCCATTCCCTGTATTACACATCTGTCATTGCAGCAGCCACTCTTCCCTCCTGTGGCTGCATGCACATGTCACAGCAGACAGCCTGTGTGAGCTGGGAAAACATAGTTCTGACAATACCTCTACCAGTGACTGCCTTGAAATAGAAACTTGAGATGACTGAGAGAAGCACACCTCTCTTTGGGAAATTACTTAAGGATACTGATAGAGCAAGTACCTTTCTCTATCTCATTGTTCTTTAACAGTCAAAGATATAAAAATTAACAAGAGATTTGTTGATATAAAATAATTGTTCGTCCCATAGTTGAAGGAAAAAATCCTTCCAGTGCAAAATAACACCCTCAGGATTTTCAGATGCTACATTCCACCAACAATCAAATTTTCAGCTTACACAGCAGTGGCCTTCCACTACAGATTTCATCTTCAAGCTATGCAGCATGTTGGTGTGTTACATACACAGCCAGATTTGCAGATCCTTTCTCAAGCCTCACTCAGGCAAAAATGTCTTTAACATCAGTGGCTGTTTTGCCAGAGTAAGGTTAAATGAGAATTGAAGGACATGTAGTCTGTAGCTGGTGTACGTATTAATGTAGGACACATTTTACAAATGCTTCCACAGTTTGCTTTGGCTCATTTCATTGGTCACATCTATCAACAGCCACAAAGCAGCTATGATCTGGGCTGAGAATTTCCACCTTCAAGGTGCTTTAATAATGCTGCAATTTGAGGCTAAGTGGGTGGGAGTGAGCTGGGGAGGACTGCTGTGACAGTGATTGCTGAGAATACCTGCAGCATCCCAGTCCCTCACACCACATGGTAGATTACAGTCTTTCCCTCACTGAAATTGCTTTTGTCACCTCTTTTCCAAGTGGTGACCTTTTCTACCTCTGGGCAGCTAAGAAGTACAAAATAGCTCTCAATTACATCCCCCAGTCACCACCAGAAGAAAAGGGAAGACATGTGAGCATCTGTGGCTGGCAAGGTGCTCGGTGTGGAAACCCTCCGCGGAGGGAGGTTGCTCTCTGCTAGCTTGCTGGCTTTGTTTGCAGGTGCTGGCTGTGACTGTGCCTCATGAGGACATGCCTGCTCAGTGCCTGGGTAATAGCTGATGAACGACAAATGTACTGTCAACACAGCTTTCAGGCACAAGGGAAACCACAGGTGATAGAAGGCGCATCATATTGAGAAAACATCACCAACAGCAACTGATTAACTAAGCTGATTGCATCCACAATCCAGCAAAATGTTTAAGCATCTGAGAACAGAAGTGGGATAGTTTTTCTTTCACCAAATCATCTTTCTCACTGAAATGGGAAGCTTTGAGGGACAAGGCAGTGAGGAAGAACATCAGAAAGAATAATTATTTGATTTTGCTAACTTTATCAAAGTTTACTATAGTTTTGAAATTTTATTTTAAATAAAAGCAATCAGTAACATCAGTAGGATGAAACATTTGATCCAAAGCAGAAGGAAGTGTGTTTTCCAGTTGCTTTCCATGAAAGGGGAAAGAAACTCATCATTGTTTTATGGAGATCAAATGATTGGGTTTGGATTTGTCAATATTGCCAGCATAGTGAAAAATATGTTGTTCACACTTTTCACAAACTTCTTCTGGGAGTCAGTGAGATTGAGTGTGGCCTTAAAATTCGAAGTGTAATTAAATCTTGAGTGAGAAGTGCCTGAGCAGGAAAATTATTCATTTGTCCTGCGAGATAGAAGACCAATACAGACAGTGAACCACTTCTCACAACTGCATCACCGAGAGTAAATTCAGTTGGAAATTACACTTTATGATAGCTTCCTCTGTATGGACATCCATGTAAAGGAGTCTGCATATCTTACTTTACAGTACATTTCACGCAGTGATCAGCCATTGGCCAAGACCTAGCTCCAGCAGATTATATCTCTGTGTGTATGTGTATATATAAATGTAGACCGATATATGCTGTATGTATGGATATATATGTAATCGTGAACACTCACAATTTTTGTTTCCAGTCTATTCCTTTATAATTAGTATGCACACACCTCATTTGAGCAACCTGTACTCATTTTCCTCTTTGTCCTGACCTTAGCCATCCTTTTGTCTTCCTCTTTCCCTCCACTCACATCAGTGACTCTGAAGAGGCAAGTAGATCATCTCTGGTATTATTTTCTTTGGTACAATCAGGTCTGTTCCTTCCTTTCTGCTTTTTTTTGGTTTGTTTCTCCAGTCTCACTTCCATATTTTCCCTTTATTCTCTCTTCCCATTTTTTTGTTTTTTCCCTGCTGGTCAGCTCTCTTGACTAACAGAGGTTTTATGTGAGCTGCTGTAACTTCTTACACTGATATCCCCCAAAAAAGTGGAGAGAAATTGATGGGGTTTATGGTTAGTGTCCTGTTCCCCAAGTGTTTAAATCAGTGGGAGAGCATTACTAGAACAACAGCAGCATTTGACTGCTTCTCTGCAGGAATCTCTCTAATTAACAAAAGATTGTATGGAGCTTTGAAGATACAAATCACTTCGTAAGTGTTTAGTAGTCATTATTATTATTATGCTAATTAGTTTCAAAATGCCAGAGGTATTATTTTGGAAGATACAACATCCTCCACAATCCCATATCATTTAAAATGCCACATTGTGATTGGTAATTTTTTGGACAGCATAAATAGCTGTCCGTTCGTGACTGTATAGGTTACCCACTCATTTCCAGAAGAGATCGGGAAAAGGGATAAGCATTTCAGAGATGATTCCAAAGGGCATTAAGGACTAAACATCTTTGTGAATCTGGCAGTGGTTTCTAACAATCTCTAGAGAATTTATTAAATGTAATTTTTTTTAATACAGAAGGGCTTCGTTTTTCCAGGTCCTCAAGCCAGACATCTGAAAGTGATGCAACCTGTTTATAGTTTAGAAATGCAGCCTTCAAACGACCATGCATTACTTGGGACCCCAGTGCTATCCTAATAATTCTGTCCTTCTGCCTTGCCCCTGAATAAGGAGAGCCAGCGAAGCTGAAGAACTCTCTATTTTTTCTGTTACAAGCCATACAAATACATAGTCCAAGTGAAAACTGCTAGGTTGTGATTTTATGTCCCTGTTTTCAGCAGTGGCTCACAATGCTATGAGAATTCCTGTGGTTGAAACATTACCTCAGGTCCTGCAAATACTGCAAATATTCAATGCTTAAATCCCTTTTATCACATGAGTCATCCCTGTGAATTCAATGTACCTTACATTACAAACTGACAGGATGTTTGTTTTCCCCTTTCTGTTACACATCTCAGATCATTGTAATACAGATGGCCTGTCCTGCCTTTGTTTCATTATTTCATCTATGAGTCTGCAGAAAGAGCCTGTCTCATTGGTTTTTGGAAAGGTATAAGTGGATGAAAGAGTCATTGACCCTGGCACTAATGAGATGGATTCAAACTGTGTTTCAACGAGACCTGCTGCAACCTAAACAAGATTAACAAAGTATTAAAGGATCTTTTTCTGTAAATCAAATTGATTACCTTACTGAGGATCACATGGGTAACTCCCCACAGTGTAGAAACTACAGCAGAAAGCCTTTATGTAATATTTTACTTATTAATTTAATTATGCACTTTGACTCCTGCCATAGTAATAACAGTAATTAATAAAATGGAACTCCAAATGCAAATACAAAGCTTCATGTGTCTTTCATACAGATTACAAAATTGCATATAAAACAGATCATGAATGTCACTGTGGTGTAGAAATAGCTAATTTTAGGGACCTTGTCTGAGCTGTAGAATTTCACACTAATTTTAGGGACCTTGTCTGAGCTGTAGAATTTCACACTAATTTTAGAGCACTGATAACAGCCACTTGGTCGCTATGAATAAGACACAGCACTTTGTAGTGTAGATGTTTCTCACATATCTTTAGGTAGTATTTTCATACTATCCTTCACCAACTGTATGTATTTAAGCATTGAGTACATGGAGTCTCTGGGAAATGTGCTGGAAATAGTCCTAGAAATTGCCTCCGATATGTCCTGAAAATGATGATGTGAACTGTGGGCTAATGTCCTTACTTTTGAGCATTTCATCTAACAAGTAATATTTTTCTTGCCTCGCCAAGATGTGTTCTATCTAATTGCCTCCTCATGTTCATGCCATTTAAGGTATCACGTCTGGACAAAAGGGCATGCACCAACAAACTTTGCCAAGTGGCGAACAGCCACCACACCCTACCGTGTTGAGTGGGAAGCAGACTTTGAGCCATATGTTGTTGTGAGGAAGGACTGCCCGGAGTATGACAGGCGTTTTGTTGGATTTGGCTGGAACAAAGTAGCTCACATCATGGAACTGGATGCGCAGGTGAGGAGGTAACGCTGCATCTCTCCCAGGGCTGGGCAGCAGGATTGTTAAAATGAAATCTGTGTTCTATAGAAGGACTTCAGGCTTTGCATCACCAAAGTGCTCATCTGGCCTTACTGAGCTCCTTAATGTTTGCTTCTTGAGTTGGGAACACTCAGTTTAGTCCTTGTCAGTCATTAAAAGGAGAACTGAGTGAGTTAGTTTATTTGTCAGTGCTGAGAAAGTTGTTGTTTCACAGTGACATAGTCCCCACAGTGCCCGCCTCCCGCCCAGCAGTGTGCCTGAGCGCTGCAGCACTTGTTGCTGGTCTCATCATCTACTAGGGGATCTATAGACCCAGCTGAAAGTTTTTCAGTTAAACTCACATTGGTGAGTCCCAAATGTTCATTTACAATTCAAAAAAGCAATCTTAAATTGAATCCAAGGCAGTCAGCTTCAATTTCTGGCCTGGATTTACAGCACATCTCTGCAAAGCCAAGGTCTTTACATTTCCAGAGTCTCTGGCTGTGGAGTGTTCTCTGCAGGATGCAGGTACTTGATCCTTGGGCTACCTACCTCTTGGATCTGTGACTTGGGATGAAGCTGCTGGGCAGAATATATAAAAATAAGGATGCAGAGAAAGCTTGAGAGTCCCAGACTAGCATTAGAGCTCTCAGAGCTGCCAAGGTCATTGCCACCAACCTAGATCTTAGAGGCTGGCAGTGACTAGGGCTTCATGGGAGCCTGGTGCTGCTGCTCACTGAAATAGCAGGGTTTGCATCTCCCTGCTGTTCTTGGACATAAAAGTAACCACTGTGCTAATCAGGAGGGGCTAGGTCATAGCATTTCTTTTCAGTTTGGGTTTGTTGGGGGGTTTTTAGCTTGGTTTCAGTCACTAATCAATTAACCATCAGTTGTGGAGAATGGCAGGATAATGATTCATTATTTGTTAACCTGGGTAACAAGGCTTATGTACCCACTGGCAGCTCTCATCTGCACTCATGATTTAACTCTTCTGATCAGAGACATTTGCCCAGCATACAGATTCACACATGGGAAATCGAAACATTTTTCAAAGTTGATCATAGCACAGATATTTTAAATGGCCATTGGGTTGGAACTAGCTCTGGGGAATTGTTTTTCTCACTCTTCCAGCCTTAAAAACATTCTCACATTGAGAATAAGTTTAATTTTCATCTGTAGAAATGTGGATATTGGATTATTCTCCTAGAAAATCAGCCTGGAGGGTACATGGGATTGCACAGCTTCTTCCCCCTGTGGCATTCCTCTGCTTTGGGGTGCCCACAGATCAGGTTGCTGCCAGCTGCTTGGCTGGCTTCATTATCAGCAGGCAGAGCAGCTTCTCAGTTCAATTATCTCATTTCTCATCACAACTGCAGTGTCTGTCAAGAGAACTGTTTCAGACTCCTTACCAAGGACCTGTGCCACTACTATCCTTCAGAGCAGCACACAGCATGGTGATAACCATCATTACTATTCTGGGGGCATGTAGATGTCCACTGAGCTGGATGCTGTACAGATACATAGATAATGACAGTCTCCATCTAAATAATTCATAACCTGTGAGGTGGGACAGAGGTTCCTGCAAGTGCATTGCTTTCTCAACAGAGGTTTCCTTACAGTAAAGATGGGCCATTAGGAAACCTTTCTCTGCTCTTCCAGTGGTTGTGGAACTAGACTGTGAGCAATCCTTTCTCCAAAACCCCAGCCTGGCATCTTTCAGAGGGGCTTATTATCCGCAGACTAAGAAGGTTTGGAAGGGTTTATGTGCCTGAAGGCCTTTTGGAGGGGTGGGAGCACCACTGCGCTGAACAGTTTACACTGCAGAGCATAGATGGTCCCTGACTTACAGGATTACAGACTTAAGATGCAAAGAAGAGAACAAAGAAAAGATTGTATGAGGACGATGGATCTTCCTCTGCAGCTTCAGACTTTAGTTTTAAAGTCCCATAGAGACATACTTTGTAATTTGTAGTTTATCAGCTCTCCTCATCTCATCGTGCCAGCCTTTTTTTTTTTTTTTTTGCATTTGGTTCCCCATTAGTTATAAGTCTCTTCCAGCTAAATGAGTTCTATTTGTGAGCATCAAATGGTTTTGCTCTTGCTACACATTTGTCACCCGAAACAGAAGCTCAGAGGGGTCCATTCCATATATGTCAGCATTGTAATGTGGCACAAAGATTTACCACTTTAGCACTGTCTGGAAGGGAACAGGCATTTCCATAATGAGAAAGGAGCAGCCATACAGCTACACCTGCACCTAGCTGTCCAACATATACTACTGTTTCATAGGTGTCTCTGGGACAGCACTGCAGCCTTGGCTACACTTTGGTCTGACCAACACCACTGCCTGAGTTGGGAAATGGATGCACATTGCATTCTGCTCACTTCATTTTGTTTGGGCTTCATTTTGGGCTGTGTTGCTCAAACACTTGGTATCTGGCAGCATCATAACCCAGCAGTTTCCAGTCTTTTCCAGGCTGATCATATTTTGTTAGGTGAGGAAAGATTTATAAGTGAAACACTCAAGTTCATTACCACAAGTGTGTTCTCTCCCATATATCTCTTTCCCTAACAAAATGTTTTTGGAATATTCTGCCTCTGTGCTGCAGATACACTGTGTCTCTGCACAGACTGCTAAATCTGTAAGTGACTGGACTTTGCAAACCAGGGAAGTTGTGCACCATTTCTTTTAAAGTCAACATGCTCTGTGGCTATTCCTTCCCTGCCTGCTGTATTCTGCAGAGCTGGTTAATGACTAAGTACAACAGTTGTAAACAGAAACTGTGTGAGGACAGTAGGAAATTTACCTGTGGAATCTTCAAAGGTTCTTTGTCATTTGCATCCCATACAAGTAATATTTTTTGAAATTTCATATAAAAAAAGAGAGCGCTTAGGGATATACTGTAGTTGGGAACTGTAATGTTAGGTTAATAGTTGGACTGGATGATCTTCAAGGTCTTTTCCAACCTAGATGATTCTGTGTGTGATTCTGTGATAGTGTCCTAGTAGTAAGGGTACTTCACTTGGCTACAAAACACTGAGGTTCACATCCTTTTTCTGCCTGATTCCTTGCAGGAACAGATATCTGGTTCTTGCACATCCTACACTAGTGACCTTCTAGGTTGTCTAAGAATCGGTCTTTGTCTAGCTTTGCACTAATGATCATATATTTAATTCTAAAAATTGAACAAATCTAACACAAATTATTGAGACTTAAATCAACCATCATTTTTTAACAACAAAATTCGTCAGATACAAATAGAGAATTAGTGAAGTAGTTCTGAAGGAGAGGGGGAATTAGCACAGTATCTCATACTTTGTGAATGAGAACTTAATTGCATAAATCTTTCTCAAAGTATATGGAATTAGCAGGTCCGTTTTCACACGTCACCTATAAAAGATATCATATTCTTCACTCCTTTCAGGTTTATAAATAGTTTTGAAGAGTTTTGTCACTGTGAGTATCTTAGTATACAGGCAAAGCAGCATATGTAGTGCAATGGATGCCTTTGTAAACACAGCTTATTTCAGCATCCCAAGCAAGATAAATTGTAGGGGCAAAAACATGCTTTTGCACAGACGCTTGAGACTCTGCTGTGTACAGTCACAACTGTGTCAATACTGCAGAATCCGTGCTGCAGATATTGCTTTGGACATGCCTTTTGTACTGTTTCCCCATAATTTGGCTTATATGGAGTAAAACATTTTAAAAGAGCAAGTAGATCTTTCATAAAACCATGAAAAAGCAACTTGTTTTTAAAAAAAGGCTTATTTGGCATGTCTGTATGGGTTTGTTGGTTTTGAGACCCACACTGCACTGTCACATGATGGAGCATGTTTGACTGTGGAGGTATGGGAGAGATGCATTGCAAGAGGGCTCGGGAACACCCTCACAGCCAGTGTCTTTCTCCCCCAGGAGTACGAGTTCACAGTGCTGCCCAACGCCTACATGATCCACATGCCGCATGCCCCCAGCTTTGACATCACCAAGTTTCGCTCCAACAAGCAATACCGCGTCTGTCTCAAGACCCTGAAGGAGGAGTTCCAACAGGATATGTCGCGCCACTATGGCTTTGCAGCCCTCAAATATCTCACGGCAGAGAACAACAGCTAGCACAACAGAGCCCATGTGCAGGAAACAGGGACACAGGAGGGAAGAGCCACTCAATGTTTGAGGCCCAGTCTTCAAACTTCGAACTGAGAAATACTTTCTGGTTTTATATCATACTCAGCAGTTCTATCAGTAGAAATTTGAAGTGACATGTCTTCGAACTATGCTCATTCATCCCTTTCCCAAATACCCCAAGCCTTTCAGCTTTAGCATTTGTGAGGTGTCAGCAAGAGGGGCCAGCCTCACGCCCACCATGCTGCCAGAGGTGGGGAATGGGCAGGGGCTGGGAATGCATTCTGATGTCCTAACTGCAGAGCAAAGACAGAGAATGTAGGATTTCATGTTGCTATTTAATAATTTGACATGCTTTTTATCTGTAAAGGAAGATCTTCGGATCGCTGTCCTGTGAATTTCAAATCTGCACTACTCTAAAAGGGAACTTTCACCTGTGAACTTTCACAGGGACCCTTTTAACATGGATGACCTTGTTAATGCAGGATGAGCCAAAAGTCTGAATTAGCCTTGAAAACGAAGGGGACGCTTATACAATACTTCACTCCAGAGAAGATGTATTACTGGGTTGTGTATACATGATAGCAGTTGGTCTTTTAGTCTCAAATTAGTTGTTTTATCATGATAATCCCCTATACCCCACCTTACCTTTTCCCCAGTCCTAAATGCTGCTTCTTTTCTTGCCAAGGAAATGTCTCCCTTGTGGTTTTTTTCCCATCTTCAGTTCTGGTGGTCCAGTAAAGAAGTAGCTCTGCCAGAAAGTGAACACAACTTGTCAGTGTATGGTGTTTTTTTGCCAGAGCAACTTGTTTGTGTGTGTTTCATAAAATAAAGGGCCTGGCTGTAACTCTTTATCTTTTTTAGGCAGGAATTGGATTTTGCCTATAAGGCATGTTGTGCGGGGGGATATATTGATTTGTAGGCTTATTTCAGTGCACACCCATCCATGAAAACATTGGGCCTGGGCTTTACGTGGACTTCTTCGCTGAATAGGTAACATAAACATGGCAACTAGTAGCCTTGGTGCTCTCCTGCTACCTGCTGCAAGGTCTTAGAACTACTTCATTAAAGGAGTTTATAATTAAAAGGAGCAGAACTGTTAGGAATAAACTCCCCATTTGAGGGGGAAAGAAGAATGTATTGGAAATCTGAAAGTGAGTGTTTACCTGAACTGGTAAAGTTCACAATTTGGGTACACACAGGAGTATGCTGGAGGGTGGACAGGAAACCTAACAACTAAAATGCAGAAACAAAACACTGGACTTTTTACCATTTTCTTTATTCTTCAGAATTCATATTGTGTTTACATGGGATGAAGAGATGAGGTTTAATGCACTACCCCTTGCAGGACTATTTGTAATTTCTGTTGCAATTTTAATAGAGAAAGCAGAAACAAATCAGTGAGAAATGCATCAGTCTCCGTATCCCAGATCGCCATACAACCACTGCCTGAGTTGGGAAATGGATCCACATGCGTTCTCTCACTTTTTTTCCATTTTGTTTTTCAGCCACTGGTCTTTCTACTTTCCTCCCCACCTCATCCCTCTAGAGCTTGTTTTTATTTCTAACATGACATTTTGTGAGAGCTTTCTGTCATGGTGGAAACCACACATTTAAACTACAAATATCAGTTCATCATGCTGTGTATATACAAGATAACCCAAAAAAGGCAACATCTTTGACAAGAAATAAAAAGGGGTGGGAGGCTACATGTAATTTTCACTTTTTCCCCTGAGAGTGTTGGCTGTGTAAGAATACATCCCTGCATAATTTTCCAAAGTGCTTTTCTTCTGTTCTTAATGGCTTTGTGTAGAGATTTGCATAAAAAGCTGGGAAGAGCTGTGAAGAAGTGAAATGAGTGTTTAGTCATGGCTAAGATACATTGTTTTAAAAAACCCAAAATCTTAACTCCCCAAATCCCATATTACTCACCATTAAGGACTCAGGTCACTGTGCATACTGAGATTGAGAAAAACCCTGCAGCGCAATCCTGTTGATTAGCCAGTGTGCGGAAAGATATCAAAGGCTGATCAAAAGAGAGGCTAACACTGGTTGTTCCTACATACAGCCTCCAGTCAGAACTTCAGTGTGGCCACCATTATGTTTCATATTAAAAGCTTTCATTTCCACATGTTTATTTCTCCTTGGCTGAACAATGTTGCCCAAGGATGGATTGGATTACCCTGCAGCAGCATAACCTGGAGTGTAACCTGTATGTTCTTTGGATGTGTCATTATCGACATGAACGTTATTCTCTCCTTGGTCACGAGATGCAGATAGGGGAGCAGGGAGGTAATCATTTGCTACTTGCCTGTCTGTACAGCAAGTCATGAAACCTGGGTAGGTTTAGGTGAGCTAGTTACACCAGCTCAAAGATTGGTAGTAGGTTCAAAGAGCCCCCTTTTTTTCCTTATAGACACTGTACTGACTTGTATCTGTCATGTCATGTTTGTCTATGTGTTTCATAATTTGGGAGGTGTTGGGATTGGGGTTTTTTAACATGTTTCAGCCAATTTACATAACAGCAGATTAGGATTACATATCTGTCTGTAACTGCCAGGGCTCCTCCAACACCGTGAAAAAAACACCACTGACAATGAAAGTCCCCAACACGGTTATAACACTGACAGTCTTCCAGCCCCCTGCTGTAGTAGGTATTTGCTAGCAACTTTGTTACTTAATTCTCAATTTTCTCCTGAAATCTTCAAGAAAGATAAACCTGGTTACTTAATGCCTTTGATTTATTGATTTGTTCTACCGACTTCTCTCTTGAATCTTCAGTCTATGACCTCTCCTTATCTTTGATATTTGGGAAGTGAGAGTCTCTCAGATATCATTCTAGCACCTTCTCTGGTGAAGACTGATGCAAATAAATCATTTAGATTCTTGACAATGTCCTTATTGTTTTTAATTGTTTCTTCTACGTAATGTTTGGGGTGGCCTGCTGTTTTCTGCTTTTGGCATACTGAGCAAATATGTATTTTCAGTTTTAACTTCCTACTATTTGCTCTTCAAATTTCTCCTTACCTTGCTCAACTCCATCTTAACCATTACATACCTTCCTTTCAGCTTTACAGAGGTTTTATTTCCATTCTCTGAAGGTTTCCTGTTTGGCCTGTATAACTTCTAAAATTTCCAATTAAGTCATACCATCATTTCCTTGTCCTTGTCTTCCATTTATCTAAGGGGATACCATACTCCATGGCTGTTTATAAGCCCTTTCCATTTTTAATCTTAGGATTTCAGTTTTCTTTTTATTTAGAGCCACTGATTCTTTAAAAAGAAAGAAGGGGTTTGGGGTTTAAATTTTTATATCAAATATCACCCTACTATGTTTTGAGGATTTGTATTTTTTTCTTTGCTAACCTTTTCCTAGTCAAGGTATCAGAAATAAAACCTTAGAAAATTCTTTTGTTCTTCTAATTTGGCCTCTTATCTTGATACATTTAGCTCTATATCTCCCTTTTACCCCTCCACTCTGAAACATTGACACTTATGAGTCACTGCAAACTTCTCAGTCCCAAAGTCTGAACTATGTATTTCCCAGCACCTTCTGACATCCCACTACATTTCAGACATAATTATTATTCCAAATAATAATCTACTGTCTGGCACATAATCCTGTCTGTTTTCATGCTTTTCCCTTTGATATAACAGGCTTTGCTAGTTTTAAATATTGGGCAAAGCACTTGGCCTTATTTAATGCCTTATTGTAACCCTCTAAGAGGTTTCCATGATTTCTCTCTGTTGTCACAGTATATATGTTCGAATGTTTGCTGTAGTTTCCATCCTATAATTTTCTGACTAAAGGTCATCTACCATTTTCCTACCTGACAGACCTAGAAAATGTCTTTGTTTATCCCGAATAGTCCCTAGTTATCTATCAGATTTTTTTCCTAAGTCCTACTTCTAGTAATTCCTTCCAGCCTTACTAGCTTCCTATATGAGCAATCTGGTTCCACTTCATAATTTACAATTTTTGTCCATTTCTCATCAGCATCTTGGACTCGATGTCAAAAAGGTATTAGCAACTGTACCTGCAGTTTCATTGCTTTTCTTAGACTGAATATCACATATGCTCTCATTATTCCTAAAGCACTGATTTTTTACCTGGAAGGCTTCATGTAGTTTGTATGAAAATCATAAACTGCATTTTCCTTTTACTGCAACAAGCAGAGGCACTTTGTAGTGTTATTTGCAGTAGCTGTTACAGCAGATTAAGCCCTGTATTAGAGGGAAAAGCACAAAAACCTTATCAGACTTGTAGCTACTCTTTCTCTCCACAGGGGAAAATAAGGCCCTAGTACAGCTGAACAGTTTCATAAATGCCCTGCACAAAACACATTGCACATTAATTTTTGGTATGTATAATCATACATCATCCAATTAAATACAAAAAATACTTTTTTTTATGTTCTTATTTTTACATGCAGTTCTGTCCAGAAAATGATGCATTTCCTTCTGTGTCTTGCCAGTTTCCCCATTACTCTAGCCTGCCTAATAGCTCCATCTGGTTTTGGCTGAGAAATATTAATGACCAGCAACACTGAGAGCCCTGGCAAATCAGCAGAGATATTATTCTTAGCATTGTTCAGGACATCCCTTCCTACTCTGCCAGATACTGTATGGGTGTTCCTCAGGCTTCAGTGCAGCAACAGGAGAGCACAGCAAATTCAGCAAGTAGGGTGAGAATCATTATTTATGAACTTCAACAAGATCTAATACAATAGACGGTGGGACTGCTAAAAAAAAAAAAAAAAAAAAAAAAAAAGAATGTATCATTGTTAGCTCAAAAATATTTCAGTTTTAGGAAAAGAAATCAGTTTCTGAAACTCCAGTAAGTGAGACTGGAACAAGTCACTAGTAGACAATGACAGCCAATAACCTAGTATTTCCACTGCTATATTAAAAATGCAGAAGCATTGATAGCTAAATGAAGTCATTTTTACTGTAGTAATTAATAATGTATATTTAGACGGTGTGTTTAGATCCAAACACCTAGGTGAATTAGGGATTGTTTGAAGATTGTTACTTTGGTTCACAATATAAAATTATGTTTGGAAAAGCTTCTGGCTGTGCACAGTAAATTATGGCTCAGGAAATTCTTACAAACCTAGATTGAGAAATACCTTGCTCTTGTAGGAATTTGTTTTCATCAGTAGTCATACATACACAAAGCAAGACACAGAGTCCTTGAGAATTTCAAAAGGAGTTGTGTACATGTCAGTTGACTGGAACATTTTTCTCTTATGACTACTTGGAATTTGGGGTTTGTTTTCTCTGCAGAGTAGAATTATTATGATGAGTTGAAAAAATAATCTGGGAATTAAACAGCCAGCCAAATATTTATTTGTGTGATGGATCATATGAATTTTTTTGTCCAGACATATTGATGGGTACTGCAATGGAATTCTTAACTCATTGAGAGTGTTGGAATGCAAAAGATCTGAAACCCAGGCTATGAATTTAGTAGGTGGCCCACCTGTAGTAAATTCTGTGGGTTGTAAAATTCATGAAAGTCAGCACTGAGATTAAACTATTGTCAGCTCAGATGTTTCATTTGTTTCAATTATTTGGATTCCCACATTGCTCCTTCAGTGCTCATAAGAAAAAGAAAAAAAAGATAATAGCAGCTTGATAACAGTAAGTCTGACTACCCAGACATTTTTCAATTGTCAGCACTGAGGTCAATGGTTGGGGCGAAGCTGGAGTTAGCAAGGTTTGTAGAATTTCTTCTTTAGATCTGCCTTTGGATCTGTTCCATCTGTGCTCTCCAGTGATGCTATAAGGAAAAGCAAAGCTATCCAATGCTGATTGATCCATGAACTTTTCATCCAGTCGGAACTAACCACCAGCATCAGGAAGGAAGCTGCACTGCTGTCTGCTTTGAGGTTTTTTAGATGGCAATAGTGAGTTCAGTATGAAATCTATTATTCTGATGATAGACTTTGCTGAGCTGCTCTGCATATTAGATGTATACTCACCATGAGTGACAGAGGCCCCTTGGGGTTAGGGAACCCAGCAGTTCGCTGGTTCAGAATGAAAACAAGAGATGTGTGTATCTTCCCTCAGCACCTTGCCCAGTGTTTACTAATTTTATTAGCACCAATTAGACCAGCTGGTCTGAGACTGTGTTCAGGCTGGGCAGTCAGCTTCTGCTGCCTGTGTTGATAAGAGGACAGATAAACAAAATTATGCTTTCTGTTCATAACAGCAATAAATATTGCAATATGGGTTCAAATGGCTCATGGAGGGTTTACATCTTTTACTTTTCACTGTTAGGGAAAAAAAAAAAAAAAAAAAAAAAGCGATGAGTTCTGTAAGGACTCACAAGAATTAACATTCACAGAGATTCATCAATGCTAAATATCCACCAAGTTAACCTGCCAGTTTTTGTCATGAATGCTGAGAATACAGGCACTGTCATCTTCTCTCTGATTATACTTTGTTACCATAAATTCGGTCTCAAAAGAACCCTCTAAGACTTAGTTTGAAGTTTTAAAAGTAAGGCATTCTTTATTGCATTGCTGGATGCACAAGGGATCATTCCACTTAACGTGCATGCCAAAAGACAAGGGCACACTTATTATATACAATAAAGCAAATTAATATTCATGTAATTTCCAAGAAGTACACACCTATTTCCAGATAAACTAATGCATATGTTAATACATTGGGCAAGCTTACTAGCAGTTGGGGAAGGGTCCCTGAGGGGCTTCATAGGTGTCTGCTGGTTTATCTGCCCTGTCCAGGGATGTACCCATCACAGTTGCAAAAATTATGTCCTTGGGCACATTCTTGTCTGAAGCCCCTTACAGCAATTAGTGCCAACTGCTTGCAGGCATCAGCTAGCAGGCATCAACTTCATAGAGCAAAACAAGTGCATGTAATTAAAAAAACTCTCTGAATCAGGTGACCCAAGACCCAAATATTTTATATTTTTTGTTGCTTTCATTTCCATTTTCATGTGTGAAATTAGCAGTTTGCAAAACTTTTTAATTTTCTTAAGCTGATACAGCTTTCTTCTGCATCAATCAGACTTGCAAGTTGTCTGGGGTGAAGAATAGATCTGACAGGTTGTTGAGATGTCCTCAGCACCACTTCAGTGCAGAGAGACCTTTTCTTGTAGCCTGGGGGAGTTTTCTTTCTTTTGTGCTATCACAGGTTTTATTTCTATCTTAGTAGTGTCTCTTCCAGTAAGTACAAAAGACTATTGGCTTGTGCTAGACCACTGCATGTGTTCATTACTAAAGCAATGTTTCTGGCATGGCATCTGGGCTTTCACAGAAATTTATTCTGCAGGATTTTTTTCCAATTGTAGTCTTCAAGCCGACATCTGAGAGAAAATCCAGCAATTTGAAGATGTAAGGAAGGGATCAATATGCTTTGTTTTATTTTTAACATATTAATATTGTTCAAGCTTTTCTGCCCACTACTCCCATATATCTTCCAGAAAAATGCTGTTTTGAGAAGAATTATTGCAAGTAATCTAGTGGGACTGAAATCAGCAGCATATATGGAGATAAGTAACCTGTTCAAGCCATAAGTTTTAGCACAAGTTTCTACAATTTACAAATTTACTATTATTTCTGTAGGTCTCAATTTAAGGATCCTTCTTCAGCCAGCCCTTTCTCAGGTTTTCTGTTTTTTCTCCACATTCCCAGTCTGCTGCACCCCTACATCCATGTTTATACATGCCTTAGGTAAGTGTTGGTAGGTATTTTAAGGACAATATAGACAGTTTCCACAGTGCTGAGGTCTGGTTATAACAATTGCATAGAAAAAGTTATCTTTCTGTTGCTGGTTCCCTTAAACTAGCAGAACTCATTTCAAAAATAAGAGAAAAACAAATACTTGGGTTGGTGGGGGAGATGAGAGTGAGAGACTTAGGCCTTTAATACTGTTAATGCCAAGACAAGATCAGGTTGCTTAGGACCTGACACATTACTACAAGTTGGTAGCCATGCATAAGATGACAATAGTGATTCTGTGTGACTCTGGAAGAAACTGACTTTAGAAGACTTGTCATAGATCATTTAGTCAGAGGCCATAGGTTTCACATTTCCTGTGGATTTGAATTGCCTTTCACAAAGCCCTCTCACAGTAGCATGATTTCCAATGGACAAGCACTAACAAGTATAACAAGTGTATAAACACTTCCTTTCCTTCCAAACTCACTATAGATCATGATGGTATTACTTGCTCTGTTTCTCCGCTCTACAGCAGAGGCTCCAAAACCTGAAGAAAGGTAGCACCGAAGTGATCTAAACACCAAATGTACCTTGCAGTGCCAGAATCCTTAGGATTTTAGGTGCTCAGCTGGAAGCATTCAGGCCATGCAACTTGGTGGCTGTTTGAGACACATGGTGTTGGAGTTGGTCCCCTTAGTTTCCTCTGATAGTCAGTAGTAAGCGGACCTCAGCAAAGGGCTTTTCTGTTCACCTAAGCACTCCATCACCCTTTCCTCTCTGACTAGCAGAAAAGGTTACAATGCTGATGGTCCCCATGCAGGTGTCTCAGGAGTAGACCTGCCCAAAGAAACATGGGACAAATCTGGGCCAATGAGCATCAGTATGAGCCACCACCTACTCATTTATATTGCCGGTGGCAAAATCCCCTGGAAACTAAGCAGCAAGTGCTACCAGGCCATATACTCAATATTAGCTGACAAAACCAACGATCTATATGATGAAAAAAATATGGGCAGATCAGCCATGGGAGGGGAATGATTTGTGGACTCCAGAAACTGATACAGGTTGTGACAGACAGCTTGTGCTAACAGCCAGGAAAGCGCTCATTTTCAGCACAAAGATGTGGGCTTCATAATGGTAGTTAAAATATTGCCCCCATCATTGCTGGTTAAGTTGTGCAACATTCATTGCACTGTATTATCACTGTGCAGCTCTGCTGAATATGGGTGTAGTATTTGCAGTGTATCAGCCAGTGCTTTTCCAAAAGTGCATGTAAGAAATCTGTGAGAAACAAGGGGAAAAAAAAAACCAAAAAAAAACCACCCAACCAGTAGCAGTCTTTCACATGTGTTTCTTCTTAAGACTCAAGCGTCATTCCTTTTCTATCGTGACCAAGGTGATTCTACATTCTCCAGGGGAAAATTGGGATGTCGGAACCTTTAGGGTGAACCATGCATGAAACAAGGCTTGTAGTTTTCTTGCAAGGCCTGTGGCACTGAAGGGTTTTGAATCTTCAACTCACCACTATGTCAGTACATTACCGGATTGGCTGGCCTTCTGCTTGAACTAATACTGAAATCTTTTGTTTGTCTCCCCAGGTTGGGGATATATTCTTAAGTAACATTTCAGGAAAGGAAAAAAAATGTGTCTTCTTTCCTTCTGCTGCCCCATCTCCCAAGCACTTCCCCCTCCAGGGTTAGACTGAGACAACTTGCATTTAACACAAACCACTTAGTTTACATGTATGCTTCAGTCTGGGTGTAAGTTTTCTAGGTGACAATTTTATCAAGGAAAATACTGTTTAGATTGTGTGTGGGGGAAAAAAAAAAAAAAAAAAAAAAAGCTTGTAAATATTTTTTTAAAAAAATCTTAATTTTCAGTTGTGCAATAAAATTGTGAAATAATCCTCTCAATTCCTTTTCAGTGTCTGACTTGACATGTACTGGTTTCAGAGCATACAGGCTGTTGTTTCTTCAGATGGAAACAGAAAAAGAGAGGTCATGGACTATTTTGGTTTTATCTTTAAGCTTTTTATTACTTTTTAATTTTGTATTGTCATTCCCTTTAATTGGGTTTATTCTTCCAACCCTGGTTCTATTAGACACGTTAATACCAGGCTGTTCCCACTGAGGACAGGTGAGTCATTATCTGCTCAGAGTTAATCATATGTTTATCTGATTTACTTGACCTTGACCTTCTTCCTGCTGTTGTCTTTCTGTAATCAAAGATGAGACTTTGGCAGATGGGCAAGTTTGTTTAGTTCATATTTAAGTATGACAACAAGCAGATGGATACTCTACAGTGAAAGACACCTCACCACCAGCTTGGAAGCGAATCCAGCCAACAGGTTAGTATTGCAAATGCTTTATCTGCTAGGTGGAAGAATGGATTTTATAGGAGTCCTTTTCTTGATAGTAGAAAAAAACTATGCAAAAAAACAGAAGCCTTTACTTTTTTATTAATGAACCCTTGCTGATAGGTTTTTCAGGTGCTCAGAGCTGCAATCACACCTCTCAATCTCAGCTGATACATCTTCTAGCACTAATAAGTAGAACCATAGGACTACACCTCTCTTCCCTTCTTTTTTCCTTTCCACTTGGTAGCCTGAGGCTTCTCTGAAGAGCTTCATTACTGAGAAAGGTGATGGGGGAAAGAGTAGGAAGACAGGTCAGCTACATAATCCTTTGTGGCTTGTTTTTGGTTGGTTTGGGTTTTTTTTCAACCCAAATTCAAAGTAGAGCCTGCTATAATGGTGTATTTGCTTGGAATGCCGGCACCAAGTTTACATGCGTAGCAATGTCATCCAGGATGTCCCTGGATGTAGGATATGGAGCCTCTTGCAAAGGTTGCACAGAATATGAATGAAAACTAGTATAAGTTGGGAAGCTAGCTGAATTTCTTGTTTTACAGATTATTGTAGAATCAAATGGATTTTGTATGGTGTAGGAGCAGGCTAGGAGTCCAGAAAGAATTAGGGAGAGCTTTGGATTTGTTATTGGCAACATAAATACTTAGAAAAGTAAATATACATATAAATAGGTAGCAAAGTAATTCACAGAAAAGGAAGCTGAAGGGCTGGAAATGTACAAGTGGGAGTTTTATATGCTGAACACTACAGTCATTGGGGAAGAGAAAACCTGCAGGTGTAACTGTGTTAAAGTCCCTGACTTTGCAGCAAAGCAAAGCTGGTTTGCACTGGGAAATGGATGATTGAGCAGGTGCAAGAAGTGAATGGCATTAACTGTGTAAATAGCAGCTCATTTTCAATAATTAGCCCCTGAGAAGGGATCCTATGCCATTTCCATATTAGCCACAACCCTTCCTATCCATCCACCTCTAACAAATTAGAAATAAAGAACAGAGCTTTCTTTAGGATTTATGTCAAATATTAATGCTCCAGGACAGATGTGGTAGGGCAGGTTAAAATGTGTTTCCCCTGGGGTCAGAAGTTATGTTTCATCAAAAGAGGGCAAGTTGAGTTTCCAAGTCTGATTAGTGATGGGGCATTACCCGCTTTTGTACCAACTCTCCTTGGGACTCTCTGCATGAGTCCTGGTGGTCTTTGTTTAACCATATTCACCTGCTTTACAAGAAGAGAGCTAGTGACCAGATCATACGGACAGATGTGAGATGTGTGTGTGTTTGCTGCCTCGGGGTATGTTATGCAGCTCAAGACAGGTGTTAGGCTAGGGATGTTGTTGAGAGTTCTGCCACAGATTTAGCCATTAAAACTGCATAAGAGAATGTTATCTAACTCCTTAGTTTGCCACTTGACTTTCTGTCTCAGGTTTCTGCAGACCAAATCTAGCTCCTATTTCTTTGTATTCCTAGCACACAAACTATAGTCTACAATTTCCCTGCCCATATTATACCTCAGGAATAACTGTTGCATGACAGTGGTGTGAATCACATTCTCTGTATGGTCATCGTAGCTGTAAGTGTCTGTGGGGAAGAGAAAAATCAAAATCTAATTCACATGTCAAAATTTGGATTTCACAGCCTGGGCACTGGGAGATTCTGAAAACTTTAGTCTTGGTAATTTTGTATTTGAACATAAGTAAAAGCATAGCATAGCATAGTCATAGCAAAGTCAAATAGGGGATGGCAGTTATACTAACCCAAATACTGCCTGTGGCAAAACTAGTAGCATCAACTGGTCACTAAATAGCCTTTGTATACCAGGAGAGAAATAGTATTTTGTTGACATTCACCCCCCAGTTTGGTCTCCAGAGCTGGCAATTTTAGATGGTAAATGGCAACAACCTCTCAGAGCTCTTATTTCAGGCTTTTGCTGATGCAGCATCTTCATTTATATTGGGTTCTGAATTTGAAGGTTAATTTTACCATTATAAATTTATTTCTATCTTAGTAGTGTCTCTTTTTAAACAAAGACAGTATTTTGAAGTGGCCACCAGGGAGAAGGGTGAACAACTCCTAATGGGTTCAAATTTATCCTCTACTTCAGGGCATGAAAACAGTTCTTAGAAGCAATTGTTCCCCTTTCCTGAACTGCAGAGGCAAGTATGGGACATCCATATATTGTTGCCTTGCTTTTATCGTGCCCTTTGTATTCTTTCACTTGAGGACTGACATGTATTTCTTACTGAGAATAGCTCTTTCAGGTTGTTTTGGGGAAGTAGCCCACCTGTTACCACCCTGTTTGTCTCAGTACTGCTCCTAGAGAGACCCAAGTCCTTGTTCCTTCTTCAGCTGATTAGTGCTGGGGGGAGATG